GGCCAAGAACGCCCGAAGCAGCGATGGCTTGATACGTTGCATGAGGACTTGAAATTAGTTGGCCTCCACCCCGATCAGGCACATAATCGGGAAAAGTGGCGTCGTAATACCAGGAAAAGCGGACCCCGCCACAGGGTGGGACAAACGCTAAAGAATAAGAAGAAGCATTTGCCGTTGATCAATCCCTTTTTGGGATGCGGCACGCATTCTACTTCCATTTGTACATTCGTAGTGGCGTTTGAATGCGATGTGGCCTATACAATGACTTGCGGGGGCCAGCCGATGTACAAGTCAGTGTTTTTATCCTCCCAGACAAGTCTGGTACCAATTAACCGACCCCGGAGGGATGGAAGGCTTGGTTGGCCCGGGCGACTCACGACCCAGGATTTGATCCCCGGACCGCTCGCGTGGTAAGCGTGCCACTTGCCACTACACCACTTCCGCCCTATTCTGCTTACTCTTAAAACAACACTTGAAGAATGGTTAGTTGAGAAATACTGATACACGAAAAACCGTTTTGGTAAATGCCTTCGACCACCACTTGATGTTTCGACCACTTCAAAAGTGAGTGTTACTGAAAGCAATCTGGTATTTGCAAAAGAGAGGCGTGGTGACTTCAGCGAGTTCGTCTCCGGCAGTTGAAAAAGACGTTCTGAAACATCAAAGCAGCAAGACAAAATGTAACTTCCCAAATTGACGTTTCTTTTTGCATTGCATTTGCATAATCTCTTATCTAAGCCCTTATCTGGCTTTCCGGTCCCACGAAGGTCGCACCACAGTCCTTTGAAGTTCCGACAAGTACCTATGATCCCGTCGGTAGCGCTAAGGAATATTTGCCAGAGCTTTCCCAGATGGTTTGTCCTGGTCAGTGACAACATTCTCCATCTTTCGGCCCAAGTGATTCCTCCTGTGCCCTGTTTGTTTCTATATTGAGCATTCAGTTTCATTTATAGCCAGGGTCGGGATTAGATGCCAAAAACCAGTCGCTTCTCGAGCGAGAAACAGGTGTCCCCAAGCACGGTAGTCGTGACACTGTCGAAAAGCTTGGCTCAAAAGTGCGCGGTGAGCGAGAACGCTTAGGTTATGTGTGTTCTTGTCCGTTGCCAGCGCTGCCATCCTTATCAATCGCCCCATATGTTGCGCGTGCGCCCATTCGCCGTACGACGTGCTCTCTCGTGTTTTCCCTATCCTGGCAGTGGTGGCCTCTCCCGTCACACCACTGCCGCAATCACAAGAGAAATTTCAGTGTTTTCTACGACGCTTCTTGCAGTCTCTTCCCTCTAACGCTTCCTCGCCTAATTCGCGAAGCGCCAAAAGTAACGCAATTCCATTGAATCCACTGTGCCCTTGACCAGGGTCAACCCTGCGTTGCGCAAATTCCAAATTTTTACGACCCCCTTCCTTTTCGGGGGTATCGGTACGACCCCCCATATTAAACTATCATGTCTTTCACATAATTTAATGCTCATCAATGCTCATCAATGATGGCAGTCACCAACATGGAGAAGTGGTGGACCGTGGTCAATCCGCGCGCTCTGTCTCGCTCAGAGGAGGGAAATCGAGGCAAATGAAGTTTTATTCATTAAATAGAAGGAATTTCCAAATTTTTGCGTAAACCAATACATCATTTTAATCGTAAAGATTTCTACTTTCAGAAACCCACCAGGATTTTTTCGATCTCTCAACTTTCCTTACCTTATAATCTGAAAAACTAAACCTTGTAGAAATTACATTGCAATCCTAACCTCTCC